CTTCTAAAACAGCACATCTCAATACCGAGACCAGACTGCCCAACAGGAGTTCGGACATTTTCCTTTTATCTCTCTAATATTGGCAAGGACAGCCCTCAGGGGAGTTTTGATTGCATCCAGCAGTATGTGTCCAGGTGAGGAAATGCTCTGTGTTTGCAGGAGCTGCTTCCTGACGTAGACGTGCCTATGCGCTCTCCCCTGCAAAGCCTGACCCGCCTCTTTTAAAAGAGTGTGGTGTGCATCATGCATGACCTGGTACCAAGCAGGCCCCTGGAACAAAGGGCTTAGTGAACTAGAGAATAATACAAGTTGGCAACCCAGAAGGCAACAGAGCCTGGGGTCAAAACAATTTACCTTCGGTGGGATATATGGTGAGAAAAAGAGAGAGAGAGATTGTGACAAAAGCTTAATTTCTGACTTCCTCCCCCCACCCTTTTTTTTTTTTTAAATACAGCAATGGGAACATTCAGCTGGATTGCCTTGGCAGCGTCCAGGACAAAATCACAGTCTGCGCCACCGACGAATCCTACCAAAAGGCAAAGCAGAGCATGGCCCTGGTGGAAGAGGAAACACGGAGCCGGGGTGCCATTGTCATCAAACCTGGAGGGCGCTACGTTGGTAAGTCTGGGGCTTTTCGTGCTTTGCACAAGAATGCAGGTGAATTCAACACCTACCTGGCCGGTGAAATGTTTTAGAAGAGTGAAAAGTTGCATATATAGCCATTTAATCGGTGGTGGCATTGGGGATTACAGACATTTCCTAAACAACACTTGCAGAATCCTTGCTGGTTGTGATTGTGTAGAGCAGGGGTCTCCAACCTTGGCAACTTTAAACCTGGAGGACTTCAACTGCCAGAATTCCCCCGCCAGCTTTGCTTTGCTGGCTGGGGAATTCTGGGAGTAGAAGTTCGCCAAGCTTAAAGTTGCCAAGGTTGGAGACCCCTGGTTTAGAGCAATGATTTTCAAACTTGGCAAATTCACGATGCATGGACTTCAATTCTCAAGCCAGCTAGAATCAGAGAATTGAAGTCCAGGCATCTTAAAGGCTGCCACACTTGAAAAACATTGATTTAGAGGCATCCAGCACCATGCATCCTTTGGTTTGTCTAAAAACAGGAGGGAAAAGTGCATTGAGTAGCAAATAGCAGAGACACAAACAGTTAAATCAGCCTTTCACCCTGCCACGACTCTCTGCCATGATGGCCATGCTGACTGGAGAATGTCGGCATTAGTCCACACAGTTGGAGGGCATCCAGATTGGTAGGTTGTTAGATTGTTGGCCCAGTGGACTGCTCCTTGCCCACCACTATTCCACTCTTCCTTTCATCAAGACCAAGTTTCAGAGTCATGCACAGATTCCCATTCATCACCTAGAGGAGGGGTGTCAAACCCGCGGCCCGGATGCGTCGCACACTGGCCACACCCACGCCCGGTTTAGCGAGGGGGGGGGAATGTGATAGATCACATGACGACGCAAGTTTGACATCCCTGACCTAGAGCATTTCCAACAAAGTTTTCTCAATATAATATTTTGAGAACCACCTGATCAGATAGATTAGCCCCAAAGTGGCTAGAGGGCAGCAACACAGCGTTTGCTGCCCTTCACACATTCACGAGATCAGGGGTGTCAAACTCGATTTCATTGTGGGCTGCATCCGGGGTGTGTTTGATCGGGGGGGGGGGACGTCTGTGGTGGCCTGTGCGCTCTGCCAGCGAAAACAGTTTTCAGCTGCCATCGCTTCCTGCAACCAGAGGGTTGCAGGAGACCGTGGCAGCCAAAAATGGAGCTCTGGAGCCAGTTTTTGCTAGCAGAAGCACCACGGGCCGATCCTTTGCTGTTTCCAGGGCAGCCCCACGGGTTTGAGCTAAGGACCCCACAGGCAGGATACAGCCCCTGGGCCTTGAGTTTGACACCCTGCACTAGGTGTATCATCTCTGACCTTTGGTGCCTTCTTTTCTTTGAGCCAAGGAGAGAGAGATGTTCCCCAGATCATAACTTGGCCAGTATTTTCCCCACTCATCGTCAGCGAATCTGAACTTAGAAGCTGTAGGGGTTTGTTGGCTGTGGTTGGCAAGATACCCTGACTCATCATTTTCTGAGTCAGTTAGACATTTGAAGCAGACCAAAAGTCAAGCATTCAGGAAGGAAGTGTGGTTTGTTCTTCTGGGAAAAATTCAAGGGGTTTGCTGGAGCAATCCTTATCAGAGAAGCTTGAGGAGGACGTTGACTTGCTGGTGTATAGGAAACTTAACATGCCTTAAATTAAATCATAAGGTTGGACTGAGAAAATGTCTCCTCTCACGTGAGTGTGCCTTCCTGGATATGATGTGTTTCTCCTGACTTTTTTTTTTTACTGTGTTAATTGAAGCTGGCCTCAGTAGGGCTTTTTTTTTTTTAAACCCAAGATGTATCTGGAAATATGTTCTCGTTTTTTCTAAAACAAATGCCTTTTATAAAGCTCCACAATCTAGGATCTGTGCTGAAACTGCCAAATCAAAGACAAACTTTATCTTCATGTCACAATTACCCTGGGGTAACCTTGGGTCAATCATAATACTTTCAGTCCTAGGGAAGAGGCAATGGCAAACCACTTCCAAAATCTTGGCAAGACAACTACAGTCACAGGTCTTATACCACTGACTTGAAGAGAGAGGGGCTGTGAGAGAGAGAAAGAGAGAGATGAGAAAGAGAGAGATATGAGAGAGAGAAAGAGATTAGAGAAAGAAATAGGAGAGAAGTTCAGAGATGGGAGGCTCCCCTTAATTGGCTATTTGAAGATTGGACAACTACCTATCTAAGAAGTTACAATTTAGATTCCTGTTTCTAATTAAAAGGGGCCCCTTCCAACTCCAGGATTCTGTGATCCTTTGGGATCTGAAGTCTTTGCAGTTGCCTTGAGAGAACTGTAATCTAGCAGATAAGGGAAGGCTAGAGTTAGCCTCCTGCATCACAGCAGCTTTGCCTAATGGAGGCAAAAAATCTTAAAGCAGGCTTTGTGAAGTGAGGACTTACCCGCATGAAGTAGAAGAACAGACTACACTGTTTACTGCAGTCAGAAAAAGAATAAGTGTCAATAGATTATGACAAATGGAGAGGCTGCATATATGCCAGTGTCTGAATGGGACCAGCAGTCCTGTATTGTATTAATCATAAGAGATGAATGGAACAACGCTGGTTGCTGAATTGACCTTCCTGCTGTGTGCAGCAATCAGAATTACAGCATTTGTGACAGATAGCTGAACTCTGTGGAAGTACTTAGTAATAGAGGGAAGGCCTAAGAGGGCATCACCCAGTAGTGGGTTGCAGGTGGTATGCCCCAGTGCGGGCATATCGGTGCCTGCCCGGAGCACCAGGTACCATTCCGGAACCGTGGTCTGGAGGGCCCACCCGCCCTCTCAAGCTCCTTACCTGTATTTGAGCTCTTCGGCGCTTACGCGCACGGAGCGCATGGTGCTTGCACAACGCTCTGCCAAGCAGCTGGAGCATCGTGGAGGCGTCAGAAGAGGTAATGACACATGCATGTGTTGCACCTGTGTGCGTGCGTGCTGCGTGCATTCATGTGGGGGGCGCCGAGCCCCGTTGCAACTGTACTGGTTGCAACAGGATCCGGAACCCACCACTAGCATGACCTATAAAGAGTTTTGAAAGGGGTTTATAGCCATAGTGACATTTGCATTAGCCCCAAAAGCAAAATATATATGCTTTTAAGAAAAACTACCTTTGACATGGTTCAGAAACTTCTGCTGACTTGAAACTAGGCCACTTAGAGGATGTGACTCTCATGTTACAACAGCTTCATTGGTTCCTGATCCTTTTCAAGAGATAAAACAAGTGGTTATGACTCACAAAGCCTTTACAGGTTTGGCTGTAACTTACTTAAGTCCTGTCTTTGGAGCTAATCCTTACATAGCAATAGTTATAAATCTGTTTTGTTTGGGTTTTTTTGCTTCATCACCATTCGGATTGACCCCCGAATTTATTATTCAAAGAAAGAATCTCAGACTTAAGAACTGCAGAAGTAACTTAGATGCTAATAACTGTGCTTTGTTGAGTATGCTGAGTATATGAATATTAATTCCAGGCTCACTTTGCCTGAAAAGAATAAAAACAAAAGGTCCATGCTTCTGTCTTTTCTCTTCTTTCCCCCAACTTCCCCAATCCATAGGAAAGACCGTTAAGATGCGTAAGCCTGCACCAGGGGTTTCCGACACTGTTCCCTCACGGATACGCCCAACACCTGTCAACCTCGCCAGCGCCATCAAGAAGGGCAACAGTGCCGTCTCCCAGAGGCCTTTCAAAGATAGGGTGATGCACTTGCTGGCTCTCAAGCCTTATAAGAAACCAGAGCTCCTCCTTAGGTTGCAAAAAGATGGCCTTTCTCTGCAGGATAAGGATTCCTTGGACAGCCTCTTGCAGCAGGTAAATTGATATTGTCATAAAACACCTTACATGCACTTAATGTCAGATGTTGAAGAAATGATATAATTATCAAGCCCCGAAACGGCAAAAGTCTGGTGTGCCGTCTTGGGCTTGCCGTACAAGGCAGAGCGGGGACTCCGGTCGGGAGGGTTTGCTGACACGAGGACTGGACTTAAGAGGGTGTGTGAAAGTTCATGGACTGTGAATCATGACAATCAGCAGGACAGGCGGAGCTGGAAGCAGGCATGCAGATGGAGATGTGGAGAGGCCACGGCTGACATTTCCCGGCATCCGGAAGCCGCTGGAGAGGGGCGGGGTGTTCCAACACTTTAAAATCAGCTGGGTGGCAGCAGCGTGCAGCGCCAACTTAAACCCTAGTTCACTTTGTGCCGAGATTCTAGCCTGCATTAAAATATTTCACGATAAGACCTGTGTGACATACTGTTTTCTGGGGCTGAGAGCTCGGAACAGGACAGTAATCTTCATTGAGGACAATCAGAGGTGGTTCACTAAATGATCTAAATCAGGGGTGTCCAACGTCAGTAACTTTAAGACCTGTGGACTTCAATTCCCAGAATTCCATCTGAGAGTTGAAGTCCACAAGTCTTAAAGTCGCCAAGGTTGGACACCCCTGATCTAAATGAAGCGATCCCCGTAGCGAAAGGACACCACCCTATGCTTGTTCATTGTTGTTAGATACTTAATATTGTACTAGATAAGATAAATAGGGACGCGGTGGCTCAGTGGCTAAGATGCTGAGCTTGTTGATCAGAAAAGTTGGCAGTTCGAATTCCTAGTGCCGTGTAACGGAGTAAGCTCACATTACTTGTCCCAGCTTCTGCCAACCAAGCAGTTCGAAAGCATATTTTTAAAAAATGCAAGTAGAAAAATAGGAACCATCTTTGTTGGGAAGGTAACAGTGTTCCATGCGTCTTCGGCGTTTAGTCAAGCCGGCCACATGACCACAGAGATATCTTTGGTCAGCACTGGCTCTTCAGCTTTGAAATGGAGATGAGCACCGCCCCCTAGAGTTGGTAATAACTAGCACATATGTGCGAGGGAACCTTTACCTTTATATGAGTGATGTTTTAGAAAACATAAGAAATGAGGTAACTTACTTAACTTATGACCAGTAACTTAATGACTGTTCAAAATTATGATAGGCTAGAAAAGGGGGACTTACAATTCAGACCCAAAGTAGTGACACAATCGCACTTTGGGCACTTGGCAGCATAGCCACACTCATGGCCGTATGCTGTGCCCTGTGGTCACATGACCATGTTTTACAATAGTTTTGCTGGCTCTTCCTGTTTTGTGCAAAATTGTACTATAGCAAACCATGGGATCACTTAACAACCATGGTGTTTGCTTAACTTTGACATTCTTTTTATGACCACCCTAAAAAAGGTAGTTAAATTGGATCAGTCACTCATTTTACGACCATAATGGGCAAGTTCCATTACAGTCATAACTTGAGGACTACCTGTAATCGGGAGAAGTGAGACAATACGAGTATATTTATAGCTTCTTTGTTCTTATCAGGGTTGATATTCACTCTATCCCCTTAGTGTAGGAGTGTCCAAATTTAGGAATTTTAAGACTTGTGGACTTCAACTCCCAGAATTCCTCTGCCAGCTGACTGAGGAATTCTGGGAGTTGAAGTTCACAAGTCTTAAAGTTGCCCATATTCGAGATACCTGCCTTAGTAGAAGATCATTTAAGGAGCAGAATAAATTACCGAGGGATTTTCCTCAAAATGGGAATCTTGTTGTTAAAAGTTCTTAAAATCGTGTGTTCTTTTGCCAGGCAGACAAGAAACGCAGCATTAGACTGTGATGCTTTTGTTCCTCATTCATGAGAGCTAGAACGTTTTCAGGCTCATAAGCAAAGCTTTTTTTTTTTTAAAAAAATGCTGAATCCTGCTCTTAACGGATGGCTTGGCAAAATGCAAAAAAGAGCCCCACCGACGTGTGGTTTTCATGCCGCCCTGGTGCAATTAAGTGCTTGTCTGATGCTGCGTTTCT